TCAATATACGTTTTGGACAGGAAATCGTTGAAGCTATCAGCGGTTAACTAGGCATCAACTATGGGATTTCCGAGATCGTATCGGAGGATGAGATGCTGCGTCTTTCGGTGAGTTCGTATTTTTCCAGATAAAAGTTTCGAGATATTTAACGAATGGTTTTCGGTAAACTGGACCTCTTCGGATAGCTGTTTTTCTTCAGACAATCTCTTAGCTCAATCAAAAATATCACAAATCAAGGGCAGAACAGCAACATCGTTCTGAAGGTGGAAACGACTATAAAGTCTGCGCAATCTGCGACGAAATGGTAAGGGTAGGAAAACCTCATCCCCAACATTAATAATTTTCTTACGGGGGACAAAACGAGAAATAAGCGGATCCAAAATTTCGTACAGATTTGCTGTACAAACATTTATATCCGAACTAAGGAAGAACTCAGTCCAGTCGTAGGAATTAATGTGTGTTAATAATTCGGTTGAGCGAGTTGATCGGAAATTGCGAAAAAAGCTATACTTTGGGGACGGCCTTTTGGCAGCCTCGAATTTCAACGTTGAAACACCTATGCCATAGTCTGAGCCCCCCACTGGGCCTAGGGATTACACTGACGATGGCATGCAGCCTCTACAGAAAGTTAGGTCAAGTATGCTTGAGCCTCGGGTGGGAAAATCGACAACCTGAGTCCACATCCCAACATCCACAACCTCAAGAAAGTCTTCGAACCTCCTGGGGCCTGAGGGCGGTGACCAGCGGACTTCGGGAAGATTAAAGTCACCCGCAACCAATTGATACTTAAAGTTTGAGTCGGCTGCAGCATGAAATGCCTGTGAGAGTAAACGATCGAAATTTTTGTTTGCATTGGGAGGGCGATGGACACAGCCAACGAGTAAAGAGAACTTATTTTTTAGGGCAATCTGGAGCCAGCAGCTGCCTTCTACTGCAGAAAAATGCGGGAGTTCCAACGGCAAAAATGTAAGAGTTTGCTTAACGTAGACGCAGCTGCCCCACCACGGCAATCTTGGCGATCATTTCGAATGCAAAAATAGCCTAGAAGCGAGAGTTCGGAGTCAGCTACTGAGGCTGATGCCCATGTCTCAGTTACTAAAACAATATCTGGACAATGGACGAACACCAGAGTCTGAAACAAAGGCATCTTATTAAGCAAGGATCTGGCATTTAAAACAAAAAGTTTGAAGGGAAAGGCTGTTAGTTTCTGAGGGAACTGGGCTACATCGCCCAGTTCTGGGCTGCCCACGGAGCAAACGGTCCGGATGTTACCATCCGGTTCTACAAAAAATTTTGTGGCATCGAAAAATTCTGACGTGGATAAAAAGTGGTAGGACTTGGGGGAGGGAATGACGGGCAGGTGAACTGGTAACCATTGTTAGCTAACTTATTTTCAGCTGAAAATCCACGGGGCAGATACTGCAACACACTCCTGCCGGAACGAAAGTGAGGAGTGGACGAGTTAACTGATCCAGTATAGACATTAGCATGAGGAATATATTGGTAGAACGCCCGTGGAGGAAACAAGTTAGGGGGTGGGGGACGCATTGTTTCCATTGGAGCAAGAGTTTTATTAAACGGTGGGAAAATCGGCATATTTGGCCTAAATGCCTCGATATGAGGGCTGCGGGACAGGTGGGAACACGCTACGTTTTGAGTCGGGGTATTTGTGGCACTGTTAGCCGATTGTAGAGGAAAAGATTTTATAATGGTACTCGATTTATCGGGTGTCCGATTGGCTGAGACAGCAATTGGATTTGCCTTTGACTTAGACACATGCTTAGGCTTTCTAGGGGTTGCTGGGGGAGTCGATAGAGGCGTGTTTATACCAGGCGTGATGGTGTGTTTAAAGAGCTCAGCATTAAAAGTGGTCGAATTCCCTACGGAATTGGCTATGCCGTGATGTGCAGATGCCGCAGATGGTGTTGTAGAGGACTTATTCAGACTGACAGTAGGTGTCATTATCTTGGTGCTGGTTTTTGCCGATTTTAATTTATTCAGTCTTCGCTGCAGGGATATGCGGTCTGGCGAAACGGAATAGCGCCATTACTTCAGAAATCTCTAGTTATCTCCCTACTCGACAAGATAAAATCGACTTCGATCATGGAAAATATGGTAACTAATATCGGTGCATTACGGCTAATCGAGCGAAGTCGCTTAGCTTGCGCGACACTGAAACTCAAGCCACAACTTTGTAGGAACAAATGCGCTCCCTCCATAGCAGATTAGTGGCTCGGAATGTTTCGCAGTACGAACGTATGCTTGCATTTAATTCTTTCGAGAGAGAGAGAGAGGAATGCGCTTTGTTTTGAAATCGTATGTTCAAAATTTTCAGCAAAAAAATGGCTCCATTCACTATGGGCAGTAAATAAGTTAATAGATTATTCAAGAGTCAAAGTTTAACACAAAGAAACGATTATTATGGGGATAGTTCAAGTCTTAGCTTCTGTATTTCTGTCTCTTCGCACGTAAGATAGCGCGCTAAGAATGGCAGTACAGAAGCTCGACAAGGCAATGTGCGACAGGATAAAAGTCGGAAGTTGCGGCGCATCGGGCGGGAAGACTTGGCAGACATAAGATCGGAATGTAGGGGATGGGCAACGTCATCTAGAATTCGACCAGCAAATTGCTTGACCGCATTGAAGTGTCGTTGTAAGATAGTGTCAAATAAAAAAATATAAGAAACACCAGCAGCAGAAGAGAGAATGCGGAGGACTCGTTTCAAAACTAAAAGATCAGTTTCCGAACTGATTATCCCAATAAGTTTAAAAGCTTGTTCAATTACTTGTTCAGAAGTGCTGTTTATGTCGTCCTAAATCAACTGATGGACTATTTCACCGGCTGATGGCCTGCTACGAGTACCAGAAGAGCATTTTTGGGCGACTGAAGTGTCAAGAGATTCTACATGTACTAAGGAAATTTGTGAGTTAATCAGTTCTGCAGACGGCGAAGAACATACGCTGGCACCTGAAATGTCTTCAGTCACGATTTTAGCACCCAGAGACGGTGTGGAGGCCACAAGCTTTCGCCTTTTAGCACGTGCTCTGCGGGGCATTACAGACAGGAAAAGTTTTTCGTTACAGAAGAGGGGTCAAAACTTTGCCTACGTACGGAAATGCGCACTGAATAGCAAGAATTATTGCTATCTAACTACGAAAACTAGAAAGAGATAGTAGGGAAAGGAGTCACTACAAAGGTTTTTATTACAAAATACGACTATTTTGCCAGACTGTCAAACAAAACTGGGAAAAATTTTACC